TCTGTTGTTACTTTGTGATCCCAAACATGTGTATACCTAGGAATTCTTTTTGCTAGTTCAGGATCATCTATTGTTTCGAAAATTACAACTCATTGGTCTGATAATATTGAAGTTCTTTTATATACCAGAGGTTTGATAGATGCAATTGAACCCACATCTTGGAATGCCATTTTACTTTGATCTGAAACAAAATCTTTTTTGCCCATAGGAGCATTTCAAAGTCTAACTGAAAGGAAGCTACATCTAATATTGATTGAAATGTACTCCTGAAGGTTTTGTTTAAAGATAACAAGACCTTCTACAGAATATAGCTGTTGCTTTTCCTCATTTACAAAAACTACCTTCAAATATGTTCTTTTTTCTTTGGAAATAATTGGTTTAACTGCAAGTATGTCATCCCTAAACTTTTGTGCCATTGCTTCTACGATATTAGTTGTTGGAATATTTTTCAGATTATGTATCTCAAAAATCAATGCATTCTCATTCTTTGTATTAATCCTTTTTCTTGGTGAGTAGGTGAAGTATATTGCCCTTCTTCTTTCTAATTTGGAGAACAATTCTGACCATTTTCTTGGTCTTGGTTGGGAACCTGCTTTCTTAGTCACATGACTTATACCTTGTGTTCTGTTGTTATTATATTCTATGTGACTATTTTGTAACATGTGTTCTGTTTGTTTTGGTTGTTCTGGCAGTTTCTGATGTGTTTCTTCACAAACTGTCATGTCTTTTACTTTTTCTTTAGTTTTCTCTTGGTCTTGACTTTTGGTTAGAGGTTCCTTACCAACATAGTTTTCATTAAAACCAACTGTTTTGTTTGCATTTGCTAAGATACCTAGGACGGATTTTTCCAAACTTCTAGTCTTATTTGGCAGCTCTGCTTCTTGGTTTTGGTTTTTTTCTTCAAAGAAGGAAACTCTGATTTTTTTGTTTTTTTCTGTTTTGCCTGTTAAAGAGCCAGACATAACTATACAGACTTGTTTTCTTTTCTTTGGCACAAGAGTTTTAGCTCTTATGGTATAGTTTTTTCTAAAGTTTAATTGCTTGTTTATTGTTGTATATGTTATTTTGCCCTTCACCAAAAATTAGAGTAGAGAGAGAGGTCTTTTAATTACTAGAATATTTAATAAAAAACTATATAAAATAAAACTTTAACTTAAGGGGTATGGTGACTTAGTGAAGTGAATAAGTTGTTAACCCCCCAAGTAGTAGGTTGGGAGTTCAAAACCCACAGATGGCGAAAATTTAGAAAACCACTTATGTTACATCAGTGTATACAGACATCTGTGCAATGCTAGAGTTACACAAAGGAATGCAAACCAGCATTGGGCAGTGCAAACCCAAGATAAGTCTTTGAAACCAATAATACAGCAATAGCTATCTATCGATCAGTTGGGATCAGTACCTGTAACATGGTCACACCAGATAACTGGCAGGTTATAGGCATCTGTGGCCATGTAAATCCGTGAACTGGGATAACTAAAGCCCACTTGGAAAGACCCAAGTAGAGAGGTAACATGGATCTTTGACAGTACTACTATAAAGGCTAGACCTAGGAAATGGATACCAATGCAGAAGAAATCGGGCAGGCGAGAACCTCGGGTAAGGGGTACCACCAACCAGGCTGCCAGAAGTCTCGAACTGGAGGAAAAGAACCTTGAGAGGCAGACCCTGAGGTATCAGAGACAGGTCACAGTCCTACCGGGCTATCTGAATTGGGAGTCTAAAGTCAGAAACAGGAGTATGCTAAAGTACTAGGAATATGCTATGAAGTCAGTGCTGGGGTCTGAGTGAACTCTGCAAAGGCAAGCTCTGTTAGCAAAGATTAAATGTGGGTAGTTAGTTAGCAAGGGGGACCCTGGAGCCCTATAGTCAGGTGACATACTCTGAAATATGTAATGGCTTGACAGACTTACAGACAGGGAGGTCAAGGTTAGGTTAGACAGCAACTAATTAGGTGTATGGGAGCTTGTGCTACTATCTGCTAGTGTAGTATAGGGGTAACCTTGTACAAGTTATGTAATTATAATTGAATTCACAATAAAGGCAGTAGCCACCATAACTAAAAGGTCTTAGCAAAAGCAAAAAAAAAAAAAAAAAAAAAACTTTAACTTAAAAATAAAGAGTTAATATAAGCACTAGTTAGTTCAAAAACAATATTTTATACAGTTTTAGTAATCTAAAATATATATATAAGATGTGTTTATATTACTATATTGTTTCTACAATCCTGTTTAAAAAATAAATACTACTAACTATTTTGGTAATTTTATATATTAAGTTTTTGAAAAGAGTAAGCTAAATTATTCACTTTTTATAAAATTTTTTTTTGCAAGCTCATTAAAAACCTGCAGAAGAGTAACAGACAAAAAGGTCCACATCACAAAAACTCTTTCCTGTTCTCCATTAATTATAGGTAGAGAACAACTGATTTTATAAAAAACAATAAATTTTCAGAACTTAGTTACAAAATACGTAGCAAGGGCTAAAACCCTTGTACCTAGAAAACAAAAACAAGTTGGCACAATTATGTCAAACACTTCTGCAAGCAGTTTAAACAGAAAAGTCAAAAAAACCAAGACTTCGAACATAGAAACAGTTGAACTTTCCAACAATGAAGCAGGCAACAAAGAAAACTTAGAACATATCAAAGCTTCTTTAACTGAGGTCAAAAAAGAAGACAACAATACAAAGCACAAAGATCTCAATACTGTATTTAAAGCTAAAGACAAAAGTCTAAAAATGAAAATAAAGTAAATGCAAAGGCTATGCAAAACGAAAATGTTTTGGCCAGCTCATCTTATATGACTTGTCAAGATGCATCAAAACAAACAAAACACGTGGCCAGTACCTGCCATGTAAAGGAACACTAATTAAAACAAACTGATCATTTGACTAATGCTAATCTTGAAACAGATCAAGCATTTGAACATGAAGCAGATCACACTGATGTTCAAGTAAAACCCAAAGATACCTTTGCAAAACCTAGGCAGTGGTCAGATCTTTTTGCAAAACTCAAAAGAGGAAAAGCAATATATTTAACTTATTCTTCTAGAAAGAGACTTCATACTAAAAATGAAAATGCACTAATCTTTGAAATTCATAGCTTAGAAAACATTCCTACCTCTGACATCATTGAAGCTATGCAAAAGGATATTGGTGAAGACCTAATTGCAGTCAAACCAATAATTATCAAAAACAGATGTACACATCTGAAAGTTGTCTTTTTAGATAAAGAAAAATAATAGTATTATGTAACTGAAGGCCTCACAGTCTTTAAACAAAATATTCAAGGATATATTCCTATTAACATCAAATGCAACTTTTTGTCAGTAAGACTTTGTAACACCCAATAGGAAAAAAGGACTTCATTTCAGAATCTATTAAGGAAGCCTTTCAAGATATTGGTACCATCTCATCTATCAAGCCACTGGTTCACAAAGGCATCTCGGTTCTCTTAGATCAATAGGTTGTGATTTTTGAAACAACAGAAGACCCAGACTTGGCTTCTAGAATCCCTAGATACATACATGTCGGGGATCAAAGAGTAACAACAGACTGGAGAGAAGCTCCAAAGTTATGTTACTTTTGTAATAAAACAGAACATATTAAAAAAGAATGTCCAGAATACAAAACATAAGTAGAAATCAGAAACCTTCACAAAAATCACAAGTTACAAAAAAGACAAGAAAATAAACAGCTACTCCAACAAAAAAAAAAGAAACCACTAGTTCTAAGTTTGGATAACCCTTATAATTCAACTAATGAGCTCAGTATGAATATCGACAAACAAGAAGAAAATATCAATTTAACAATAAATGAGCAAGAAGAAAATATTACCTCATCTAATTTAGAAGTAGATGAAGAATCTAAAACAGAATCTTTATAGTCTGAGAAAGTAGAACTATACTTACAGATGCTGCCTGCTGAAGAATATATTTTGGAAGCAACTACATCTGGAAAAAATAGTTTTATTCCCAGAATGAAGACCTTATTAGACCCTTTGGTTACTACATATAGTAATACTCCAAGCCAAGCTACGAACCCTCAAGGCAAGGATGAAGATAGTTTTACTTTGGTTTCATTTAAACACAAATCTAAAATTCGGCAAAAGGTCTCAGACCCACAAGAAAATAGCAACAGGCTTAAGAACAGCCATGGGATTAGAAGAAGTCCCTATTAGATCATCCTTTCCCTCTATAACAATTATTATGATTAAAAAAATTAGAATCACAACACTAAACATTAAAGGTTTAAATAATATGAATAAGGCACATAGAACATTAACATTACTAAAATCATATCATTTAGATATAATAATGCTTTAAGAAACAAATCTAGAGAACCTCAATACCAGAAAATTTTTGCAACAACAGTGGAGCTACTGCTCTCATTAGATATCGAAAACTGCAATACTGGCAGGCAATCAAAACATTTCATTTACCAAACTTCAAGATTTTCATAATGAGCATGTTATCATCATAGAATTAATGTACAAACAACAACTCTTCAAGTTTACTAATATCTACGCACCTCCAAATATTGAGGACAGAACTATCTTCTTCAATAATTAGGTCCCTCAAGTAGATGATAGATGCATAAACATTATGGCAGGAGATTTTAACACTAATCTCAATCCACAAACAAATAGAATTAGCGACTCATCTCCAACTAGTGATCCCACAAGAGAAATTCTCAAAAGACTTACCTCAGAGTTTTTAGACACAGTAAGCTTGGAGCAAAGAGAGGAACCCTTTATAACTTATTATCAAAATACCAAAGATGGTAGAAGAATGGCTACAAGACTTGATTACATCTTTATCGATGCTAACTATGGACATTGTTGCAAACACATTGCAACTCAGTTTGGAAACTCAGACCACCTGCTGGTGGAATGTGAGCTTTAACTAATTTCTAACTTTACTAAGGTCAAACAATAGAGATTTGACAAAAACAGTTGGAACAACCTATTGCTTAAAGTAGAAATAATAGAAAAAATTCAAAGTATAAAAAACTTCTCCAAATAGGATTTTTACAAGTGCAGGATCCAATCAATTGCAAGAATCTTTAGACTCCAGCCCTTACCAGAAAAGAAAATTCAGAGACTTTAAAAAAAACTTACCAAAATTAACAATAAAATTACTAAAGAAAAGTCAGATAAGCTACTAGCACTGAGTGAAGATATCGATGCCCAGCTGCAGGAGGAAATCTAAGCACTTTCAGACAAATGGCAAACCAAATCAAATGCAAAATGGATAGAAGAGGATGAAAAATCTACTAGATTTTTTTACTCACTTTACAAATCTAGAAGCTGTATATCAGCCAAAGACAAAGTTCAAATTTCCAACAATAGTCAACCTTAGAATTCTACAGATGTTCTTCATTACATCAAAGAAGCCTATTAAGAGATCTACAAAGCTGAAGAGGTAGACAAAGAAGCAATAAACTTCTTTATACAGAGCCTACCATCAGTATCATTGCTGCATAATCAAGCTTTGACTAAGGACATCTCAGTAAAAGAAATAAGTGCAGTAATTAGCCAACTCCCAAACAACAAAACACCAGGATCAGATGGTTTAAATTATGAATTCTATAAAGAAATCAAAGACGAAGTTCTCCCAGTAATGGTTAACTTGTTCAACCACTGTCTGAGAACTGGCACAGTCCCCAGATCATGGACCAAAAGCATCATTACCTTAATCCTCAAAAGATCTAATAATCTTTT